GCACACGGAGTTTCTGGATCAAAGGTCACTACCGTTTCGCGTAGCAACAGTTAGTTCTAGAATATCAGAGGCCGCACTAGCTAATATTGCCGAATGCTCTTATGCAGATTCTGAGTCAGACACAATGAGTCCCTGGGAAGCTCTCCAGCAGGAATGCGCGTCACAATGGTAGACCGTATATTTACTGGCCGCGCCGAATTATTCCGAGTTCCCGACAAAATGACAGCGTGCCGTTCCAAGCACAGCTGACAGGCGACTCCGCCTTTTCTCTCGCGACTCGCGCGCCACTTGCCACGCTCGGCCGAACTTCAAACCGGTATCGCGCCGAGCCGAGTGACATCTGGCGTCGATTCTTGACAGTGTTTGGCGCGAACACTGATATCGGGACGTCAATCACCTCAGTCCCCCGTGACCACGATTGCTGGAAAGCAACCGAAACGTCGGGAATATAAAATAAGTTAATTTAACGCGATAAAATCCGTAAAAGTAGTTTAATTCACTCCCTGGTATTTTTCATAATCACTTACAACATCTACGAAACCACATTTATTCACTCATTACAGCTCATTAATTATCCACTGTTTGAACATAGACACCCGCGTTGATTGCCACATATGGGGAAATCAGCCATATTTGCCACGCCTGACAGACGGGCTGCTGCTGAACTGCTGCTGTTGCACTGCTATTCTTTATTATTTTGAGTTGTTATCAGACAAATACTGTTGCCCATCTCTTGTTTATTTTGCTCTCGCCTCTTACGACACCCACATCGTGATATGGGGGACTATACTGTATGACTATAATATATTTTATTTTAATTTCGAACAAATACAAAACTTTACTAATTATGGTAAAAAATAGAATTAATTAGACACATACAATGCGTAGACAATCTGGCGACCACTCATCTCAGAGGTAGTGGCGCAAATATGAGTCTCTGAGAGGTGACTACATATTTGTGCCATTTGCTGTAGAGACTATCGCTCCGTGGGGTCCACGTACGGTGAAGTTCCTAAAGGAACTCCATCCGAGGCTGGTCGTTGCTGCTGGTGATAAGCGGGATGGTTGTTTTCTCGCTCAAAGGCTAAGTATAACCATTCAGCGGGGAAACGCAGCCAGCGTTCTTGGCTCGATACCGCAGGGAGTAGGACTGTATGATAATTAAGTTACCTTGTTTTAGTTTTTTTATCGTAGTTTTTAATATTGTATAATAAAATATTATATACAATTATTAGTTAACTGTTAAAGTTATATATTTATGATTTATCTCAAACAACAAGGAAATTCGTACCGGAATATTTTTTTATTTAAAAATCTTTATTTCACATAATGAATAAAATTGCTGCCTTTACGCATTCTCTCTCAGTCAACCATGAGCTAAGCGCGGGTGCCACAAAAACATGAAAATATGTATACGTGAATATAAACATAAAACATACATACCATACGTGTAAATACACTTATTTATTTATTTATTTTTTGATTTAGTTAAAAGGACAACCAACAAGACGAACACTAATACATGGATTTTAGGATAATATGAATATGAAACTAAAGCTAAGCGCCGTCTTAATTATAGGCTGTCACGGCATGCAAATGTGGACTATGCAAATAAAACTTAAATAGGTTAGTTAATACTAAACAAACGAAAACTTAAACATTTTAATCCTTATTTTTATAAGTTAAAAAAATTAAACAATAGATATAGATACTTAAATCAAACAGACACCATTGATTCGAGAAACTGACTGATCTTGCGTCTAAATTACAACGGCTTGTCAGAAAAGTCGATGTTGTAAGACTTAGATATTAAGTTTTACTGTCTCTGTAAACGATTCATGGTGGCGTGGTGACCTAAGCTACTTTTGGCACCTTTTGGTGAGAATGGAACGTAACGTACGCGACGCGGCAACTTGTATGGTATATTAAAATTGACAGATCGCAATAACGCAGGGCAGTCAATGAGGCCATTGATAATCTTATAAAAAAGCAATTGATCCAAAAACAATCTTCGCCCTTGTAGACAAGTCATTTGAAAATAGGCAAGACGTTCCTTATATGAGGGCAGCAGTTTGGTTTTGTTAGATTGGTAGGTTAGGTGCTAGAGAAATCTCTTCTGTATTCGCTCGATTCACTTAATATGGACCGCATAGTGTGGGAACCAAACCTGACTACAATATTCCAAACCCGGACGAACCAATGCCAATTACAGAAGAATTTTTGTTGAGGGCTTTTTGAATTCCTTTGCATCCGCAGCACAAACTCTAGCATCTGGAAACCTTTTGTTGCAACTTGGTCAATGTGCTTGTGACAGCGTAGTTTTTTATCCATAATGATGCCCAAATCGCGAATAGGGTTCACCTCTTGTAATTTTTGACCGGCAATATTGTAGGACGGCGACAAGTTCGTTTTGCATCTCGAAAATCTAATAAATTTACATTTTTCAGTATTTAAGTATAACCTGTCCTCCCTACACCATCCAGCGAGTCGATCTGGATCCTCCTGTAATAACAATGAATCACTTATACCTCTGATCTGCACAGACAGTTTCATATCATCAGCGTAAAGGAAACAAGGAGCATGATCAAAGATACCCACGATATCATTAATAATTATATTAAAGAGGATTGGACCTAGATGCGAACCTTGTGGAACGCCGGAAATTGGCTGAAAGGAATGCAATGAGTAGCCATTAACCACAACGTGCGACTTGCGTTGATAAAGATAGGATTCAAACCATTCCAGAAGGCTGCCATACGCACCCAAACGAAAAAGTTTACCCAGTAAAATTTTGTGATCAAATGAATCGAAAGCCTTACTAAAGTCGGTGTATATGGTGTCTACAGGAATACGGGAATCAAGGGAGTTAGAAACAAAATCCAAAAACGGGATCAAATTAGTTACCGTTGAGCGAGATGCGAAAAAACCTGATTGGCGAGGAGAAATTAAATGGTTTATGTGATAGGACAAGACCGGGCAAACCAATGATTCAAATGCCTTCCCAAAGACTGAGAGTATCGAAATGGCTCTATAGTTCTTCACGAATGCCGAATCATCCGACTTAAAAACTGGAACAATTCTAGCCTTCTTCCAGATCGAGGGAAATACGCCATTCATTAAAGACTCATTAAATATTATTGTTAGAGGAAAATAGCGAGATTCACAGCATTGAACTACAAACGAAGAGGGTTTTCCATCCGGGCCAGCTCCCTTAGTCCTTTCAGAGTTTTCAGAACATCCTCCCGCCTAAGGGTCAGACTTCCAAGGAAGCAAGAGACTGAGTATTCTGGATCAGGTACAGGTAAGTTGCAGAGAGGCAAGCTTGGCCGGTAAACAGAGGCAAAATAGGAAGCAAAAAGATTGCAAATACCAGTTCCAAAAGTTTCTTTCTTATCATCGAATGTCATTGCAGGTTATATACTTTTGACTTTTTTACTCTTTAGAAAGGTCCAAACCTTTTTTGGATTTACTGATAGGGACTTTTCGAGATCAGTTATATATTTAAGATAACAAGTTTCTGTTAAATCAGAGCACCGTTTTTTAATTGTTTGGAATGCCAGTTCGTCGAGTGGGTTATTGTACTTTTTGTATCTTATCCTGAGCTTATACTTCTCACGTGAAAGGAGAATAAGATCCCTGGTATATCACGGGGGAAACTGTTTTGATGCTGGTTTGCTTTTAGGAACATATTTTAAGATAGAACTTCTTAGTATTGAGTAAAATTTGTTAGTCATTTCATCCAGCGAGGAGCACGAAGCCAGGTCACGCTCCCATGGTATCGAGCTTAAATAATTAGATATTTTTTCAAAATCAGCTTTATCGAAGTTATGTCTCTCGTTATAATTACGGGAAAGAAGTTTAGCTGAATACACGGAGGGCAATGTAAATTCCAGCGGTGGGTGATAATCATCTACAGAACTGAGCTCAGAGTTACTTCGTGTCACATTCAACAGAATATTAAGATTAGAGAGAACCAGGTCTAAAATTTTGCCTTTATGGTTTAGGATCGTAATATTATATTGGGTAAAATTATTTAAAGCTATAAAGTCCAGTAAAGTGCTTTCAAATGAAGTCATATTATTGCCATTTACAGCAAACGGTACCTCCGTGTCATTCCAGGCAATACCACTCAGATTAAAATCTCCCAAAATTAACACTTTTGCGTTTAACTCTCAGACTCTATTTTGTTAATATTTTTGTTATTTTTTAGCGTACAATAAAGGGTTATCTATCTATTAGCGTTGTGGATATAATGTTCCAGAAAATGTTTTTGAATAGGCGATGGGAGGTAGACGCCACACAATAAAAGCATATTTGGGGTTGTGATATAGGTAAGGTGTCAATGTGATGAGGCGTGTTGATGCTTCTATGACTTTAATTATACTGTCCTTATTCTACCTTAACACTAATATAGGGTTACTGGTAATTCGACGTATTCCCGCTAAGGCGTGATAGTTGGGGTCATAACCTATCAAATGAACCATAAAATGCATTATGCAAATGTGGACCAATTTCGAGATATTTAGGTTTAATTATTTTTTTCGAAAATCCCTAAAGTCTGGTGTTAAAAATTTCTAAAAAAAAACTTACAGCTGTATTATTTTCATTTTATTATTTTTACTTAATGAAAACCTGGATACTTATTTATCAATACTACAGTGTGCCAAAAGTCTCATCATTTTCGAAGTAACGCTACTAAAAGTACAACTTTTTCCAAACAGAAAATAAGTAATTAAAAATAAAAATGATTTTGTGAAAAATAATTGTATGTTATCAATTGTGCAAATCATGTTAAAAACATCCCTATTTATCTAGCTACCTAATGAAGTATCAACTTTGTAGTTTGCTTATGTAGAAACAGAAAAAAAAATTAAAGAATGAGGTCAGGTAGTCGAGTTCTAAGCAGACAAAAGAATTTCTGTTTTATTTTTAACCAATATTAATTAAGGAAATGAAACAAAGCATTTGATTGAAATTAGCTTTATTTATTTTAACACGATTTACAAATTTTGCTCAATATGGGAGCCCCTATTCCGTATACAGACACGCATTCGTTTTCTTAATTCGCTTTTAATAACGTTTGAGGTTAATGTTCGTCTTATGTCGTTTGTCGCGTTGATAATGCGGTCTCTCAGTTGATCAAGGGTCGGCACTGGCACATTGTCGCAGTACACAATGCTCTTCATGTGCCCCCAGACATAATAATCCATCGGTGTTATGTCAGGACTCCTTGCTGGCCATGGAATTGGTCCTCCTCTGCCAATCCACCGATGTCGATAATTTTCGTCCAGCCATCGTCGCACAGTTACACGACAGTGCGCAGGACACCCATCATGTTGATACCACATGTTTTGCCTTGTGGCGAGAGGAATATCGTGTAACAATCCGGATAAGTCCTCCCTTAAAAATGTTTCATAATTTTCGCCGTTTAAATAGTTTGGCAGAAAATAAGGCCCAATTAAATTGTCGTTAATAATCCCCATCCAAACATTTAGTGAAAATCTTCTTTGTGATTTAGAAGGTCTCTTTTTTCCAGGATTTCTTTGCTCTTTTGGAGCCCAAAAATGTAAATTATGGTAATTTGTAATACCGTCTTGATCGAACTTCGACTCATCAGTCCACAATATTTTTCTAAAAAACATTGGATCTTCTGCATCTGCGTTCAACATAAATCTACAAAAATCCAATCTTCTAACTGGATCTCCTTCTTCCATCACATGCACTGGTGTGTAGTGGTACGGATAAAGCCCCGCAGTATGCACAGTAGACCAGACCTTCCACTGCGATACACCTAAGCGACGAGCAACTATGTTCGTGGAAGTGGTTGGATCTTCTTGAAATTTACTCAAAATTTCTTCATCTTCCGCACGCGGTATACGGGGTATGCCACCTGGCCTGCCAGCATCACGTTGTTGCCTTTGAACATTTCCAGTCCCTCGTACTCTACGATACACTGCACTAAACACTGTGACATGGGGTGGTCGGCGATTAGGGTAGCGCTGTAGGTATTCACGGCGAGCAGCTGCAGCGTCACCGTCACAATATCCATAGAGATAAAAGATATCTGCGTATTCCTCGTTGGAAAATGATTGCCTTGCATGATCTCCGCGTCTTGGTGGTTCCGCCGCCATAAAACTTTGAAACTCAACTTCTTTAAGTGTAACTGGGAGGGATATGCGCGCGTGTGTACGATGCCTGTAATACTGATGACTGATTGAACAGTTTCTTCTTGTTTAACTTGTTTCTAATTTCACACTAAATGTAAACAATAGCGTAAGTTCAAACGCACAATCTTTTACGAGCATTCCCGCAGCTGTTGATAAGGTTCCGAGAAGCGATTATTTGGGATTACCCAAAACATTGCTACTCGGAACTTGTCTACCTGACCCCTTTTTTTCAAGTTTTTTCTGTACTATTTAAGTTACAAGCTAAATTGATACTTCGTTGGGTAGCTAGATAAGTAGGGATGTTTTTAACATGATTTGCACAATTGGTCACATACAATTATTTTTCACAAAATCATTTTTATTTTTAATTACTTATTTTCTGTTTGGAAAAAGTTGTACTTTTAGTAGCGTTACTTCGAAAATGATGAGACTTTTGGCACACTGTAGTATTGATAAATAAGTATCCAGGTTTTCATTAAGTAAAAATAATAAAATGAAAATAATACAGCTGTAAGTTTTTTTTTTAGAAATTTTTAACACCAGACTTTTGGGATTTTCGAAAAAAATAATTAAACCTAAATATCTCGAAATTGGTCCACATTTGCATAATGCATTTTATGGTTCATTTGATAGGTTATGACCCCAACTATCACGCCTTGGCGGGAATACGTCGAATTACCAGTAACCCTGTATATATAGTCGTGGGGGCTATACTACACTACAGGGTACCTTTTTCCGTAGGTATATTCAATTCGATCCAATTATCCTCGCATTTACTCTCAAAATGGTGTAGCCTACGAGAATAAATATACTTTGACACAGCCACCAATACCCCGCCACCAGATTTGTGCTGATGAAAGCCGCTAGTCTCGCGGTTGCGTCAAAAAACTGCGTAACGATCACTAAACAACTCAGAGTCAAAAATAGTGCTATTCAACCAAGTCTCACATAACACAACTATATCATAATCGTATTTTAATATGTTTTTGTACAAGTTTGTCGTCTTCGTTCGAAGACCCCAACGTTTTGAAAATATACATTTAAACTGTTGAACTTTAAGCCGTATACTATTACACGATAGATTACAAAATAACAAGAAGAACCTAAGATAAATTGTCCAGGGTCAATTTATTACGTACTAAGACGTATTCAGATATATCAGTTTTCCGCATGTATATGCGGCCGCCCCGGACCCATACATGTTTGTATTGAAGTTCTTTTGCACGTTTACGGGACAAAGCGTGAAGAAGCTTATTCTCAGGTGAAAGATTTTCTACGATTTTCTCGTAATACATATATGGGAGTCTTCCTGTTAGGCCCCAATCCCACATGCTCCGTGTTCAATTTTTCCTGTGAGTGAGTTTTATTGTACTTCAATGCAGCGGCTTGCAGGGAGTCCCTGAAGCGAGGGCTGTTAAGTTTAACTAGAATAGAGCGAAGATGGGTACTCTCGGGGTTTTTCTTAGCAATTCGTGAACAATATAAGATATCAGACTCGTTTATAGGGCAAGATATGGTTTTGCTCAATTGTGTTACAATAGATAAAACGTTTTCAGACTTACGCTCAGGAACACATTGGATTTCCAGGTTCGATGCCCGAGAGATCTGCTCCATTTGATTAAGATGGCTAGTAATTATAATAAGATCACTCTGTAGGGTTTCCTTTTCCTTAACAATTGTGTCAATTTTAGTCTTACAGCCACTCAAATCAGGGCACAGACAATCTGCCTTAACTTCAGTCGATAGGTTTTTAAGCTGAGCAGGCGAAATGGCGACACATATGCAATGTAGTATGCCACACAGACACAACATTGCATGCATTCAGAGTCCTTAATCTTAGTATGACAGGCGGAGCATTGATGCATATTTAGGGTTGCCAGATGGTCGGGATTCGTCTGGATTCTCCCGACATTTTAAATGATCTCCAGACTCCCGACAAAACTCAAAATCTCCAGACAAACAGCTTCTTGGAAAGTTCTATACAAAATAATATTTTAAAATTGCCACGTGCGTTCACGTTCTTCTTCGTCATGTCCCGATAAGATGGCTATCTCTGTTGCCCACTTTAGATAATTTACTGTATTGTTAGACTGCTGTAAAACAGTTTTTTTTTTTTTTGTTGAAAGGGGAAGTCGAAGAGATATATATGGGAGTTTGTAACAAAAAAGTATTAGCCATATTGATAATAATAGTGAACGGATTGACGAATGCAAACAGGAAGGGATTTCAGAAGCCTATTTACACTTTATACTTTGTAACGTAATGTTGGAGTTCCAAGTAGCAATTTTAGCATTGAAAAATGCTGCAGGCATTGTCCTACACCTTAAAGTGTAATGAAAAAACTAATGAGTCATCTAAAAACAGGTTGGATGACAAATTCTTAGGTAGTAGAAAAATAACCTTATCAAGAAACGTTTCCGATAGTGAGAAAACCCCTTTTTGCGTCAAAGCTGAACATTTTTTAAAACGAGCTATTCAATACTTGCAAGAACGCTATTTTTCTGAGAACTCTCTTTAAAAATTCGCTGTATTATCTTTAGAAGGTGCAAATTTATTTACGTGGAAAGAGAGAGTTATCCGTCTGATGTACTTAATATTTCAAACCGATATTGACTTTATATACCGATATATGTCTTCGAGAAACACTTAAACATCTTCCAAAAAACAAGGATATTTAAAATAACAAAATTTGAGCATTTTTTTAAAATGCAACCAAAACGACCTAAAACTTGAAAAATGTTGTGTTTAGTTTGCTATATAATTTATATACCAAAGAGAGAAATCGTTAGTAATTGAATTGAACAAAAAATAGTTTCTGAATACTACTAAAGGACCTAAAGTGGGGGGATCAGTAAAGTCCAATGCCAAATACATGTGACAACCTAAAATTTAAGTATAATTAAATTGGTTATATTGGTTATATAATGCTAAGTATTTTGTAGCCTATTAATTAAAAAAATATTTTTATTTTACGTTTTTATTTTTCATATTAATTTCTCCCGACAACAATCCCAAAATCCCGACATTTTCAAATTTTGTCCAGATATTTTGGCCTTCCGATCTGGCAACCCTATGCATATTGCGTTCAAAATCGCGGAAACTACGTATACATGCAAACAATGCAGGTGCAAGCGGTGCTTGAGTGCGACAGCAATTATGTCACTTGTCTCTTATCATGCAGGAGGTGAGGTGAGGAACCCCGCGAGTCCACAGGTAGCGACCGGGTGATATATTTTAAAATATTATTTTTATAGTTCGCACAACACGCGGGATTATAGCCGTAACCGCTATTAGTAAGCGCTTCGTAAGAGGTAAACTCGCACGCACTGACACTGGATTTTTACTACACTAACCGACAACACGTCCACTCACGATTAATATGTTGACTTCACTTATAAATATATATTACTACAAATAAACTAAATATACTATATACCTGATACATATCATAACCAATATTAAATAATTCATAATATATACATTTTAAGCATACATACATAATGTGACGGCTCATTATTATTATTATTAATAAATAATAATTAAATTCAATAAAGAGACATTTTAAAATATCATATCATATATATAATTTGAACAATTAATATGCGTCAATAAGCATAAAGTTTAAATATATATATTTCGAATATTAGGTATTATATAAGTAGTATAGTAAATGCTTAATATTGTCCTTAAAGAACCTTAATATTCAAAATAAAATAAATGATAGAAGTAAAAGACGATTATATTGCAGTAATAAAGATAAATAAGATTTGTAATATTATTGAAAAATGGGTCAAAATTTTACTTATTGAAAAAAAAGTTAATGAAGGTGTTCTTTTATTACTAGAGAATTGCTTATATGAAGGAGTTGTTGAAGACACATACCCATGGTTATACATACTCGTATATATGGAGTGGTCGGCTGACCGTCTGCTACTAGTACTGTTGCACAATGTATATCCTATATTAGGGACTTATGATAGTAAGATCTATGGAACTAAAGCATTAATATAGAAGGTCTCTATGATGCATAAGCATTATGATAGCAGACTTATGACTTGAAGTCCCATAAGTATAAGACATATAATAGTAAAGTAATTTGTTTAATTTAGCTTTGTGACATTAAGGCAATAATATCTTCTATAAGGCTTAACTAAATTATTTTATCTGCATTCAGTAACTTTAAGATAATAATATAAGTTTTATTTATGATGACATTATCCGATTGACGCCGGCTGAATACTCGTAATACATGAGATTTATTGTACACGCGGATGAATTTCACGAAAATAATTATTAAAATGGCTGCCAGTTTCTGAATACCAATTATGTTAATATAAGCCAAGTTCTATACAGTGCATTTTAATGAAATTTTATTTCTTATAAGGCCATTCTACATTTTTTTTATAGGATAAGGGTGAGAAACGAGCACACAGTCCACCTGATGGTAAGTGGTTGCTGTGGCCCATAGACATCTGCATCCATCCTCTATTAGGAATCAAAATGCAGATGCGTAGTCACCCGTGAGGACTAAGATGGAATGCCTCTTTTCCAGTAAAAAGGGTCTCCGGTTATCTACACTCACCATACGAAACACAGCAGCATTAAACTGCTATTTTACGCTGGTATTCTGTGAGATACATTGTATTTAAATATTAGTGAAAATACTTGCAACTTGTGAGTTTAGTTACAACTCTTATAGGATTAGGTGTTAGGATTCCATTTCTGTCTAGGTGTGCAGCTAGTAGGTACCTCCCTCTTAGGTATTTCTGCCGCAAAGCAGCAGCGTGTGAAATGCTGCGCTTCCGTCTGAAGAGTATAGAGAGCCGGTATAATCACATGCTGTGAGGAAGATGCATTCTTTGTTTCAAGTTGGATGCTTGTTTTCACGGGCTGTAGTAGTCCACATAGGTACTATAAGTTGGTTTGTCACTACAATTTTATTTTAAAAAAAAAACAATAGCGTC